GAGAGACAAGAAAGGCAAGGCTCACCAAGCCATTTATCTCTCTGCCCTTCAGTCAATCCCACCTGCGTTTATCAGCCAGGCTGGCACAATAAACTATCTCACTGTGTTAACTATATCCACATTCAGCACCACTTTTCTGATAACCGAAAAACCAATCAACCGTCTAAGAGTGAAGAGTAAAATTCTCTTACTCCAAACTCTCTCTGGAACCACCAACCACTACCGGTCCCTCTACATGTATTCTCAACTCTGTATAAAAGTGTGATCTGCCCTTATGTGAATGACTTCTTTCACCCACAACATCCAGGTCTACCCATGCTGTAATGTGATTTGCAGGCTCGTTCTTGATGGTTGTGTCGTACTTCACTCATCTGTTGATGAGCACTTGGGTTGTTTCCATCTTTTTGTTGTTGTGAATGCTGCTCTTATGTACACGGCAGTGCCAGTTTTATTAGTTCACTAGAACACAGGCTGGGGAGTGGATAGCTGGGTCATAAGGTTAGTTCTGTTTCTAGTTCCATACCACTTTCCCTCTGCCACTTTAAAGGGTAAGGGTTTCACTCTTAGCACATCCTTGCTAATGTTTGTTAACTTTTATCAGTGCCATTTCCAATGGGGCGAGGGGTTATCTCATTGTAGCTGTGACTTGCAGCTCCTTCACAGTTAATGATTGTGAACACATTTCCAGGTGTTCGTTGGCCACTTGCAAACCCTGTTTGGTGGGGCTTCTGCTTGTGTTCTAGGTCCATTTTATAATTGGGTTGTGTGCCTTTTTGTTGTTGAGCGTTTGAAATCTCTTATGAATTTTAGGGATTTAGAACATTATTGAGTATGCCATTCCCAAAGATTTTTCCCAGTCTGGAAGCTGTCCTTTAACTCTTCTGGTATGCAGAAGTTTTTAATTTTTATAGGTTTCTATTATGTGTCTTCTGCCATTTGAGCATTTGTTATGTTTGCTACCCTGCTTTTATCAAATACTAGGTCCTATGGTTTTCTCCCCAAAGCTTTGTAGTTCCAGGTTTAACATTTAGATCTGTGATCCATCTGGAGTTAGTTTTGTGTATGGTGTGGGGGTATATGGCTGGTTTCATTTTTCTTTAAGTAGATGCCCATTTTTGCCAGCAACTTCGATTAAAGAAGCTATTTCTGCCCCCAGTGAATGGACAATACTGAGTAAGCGAGGTGCTATTGGGCATCCTCGTCTTGCTTCCATTCTCAGGAAGAAGGATCTTGGTCTTTCTCCACTGAGAACAATGTTAGCTGTGGGTTTTGTATATGCATCCTTCATTATGCCCAGAAGTTTTTCCTATTATTATTTTGCTAGTATTTTTATTAGGAAAGAGTTCTAGGTTTTATAAAATGTTACAAAATTACGAGGCAGGTTCTATTCTGTCCTACAGGATATGAGCAAAATCAAATGGGCAACAATGAGTTATTGATAACAATTATCAATAGGGCTGCTCCTGCTCTTTTTTGGTTATTATTGCATGGAATATTTTTGTTTCCTTTTTATTTTCAGTATGTTTGTATCTGTATGTCTAAGGTGAATTTCTTCTAGGCAGCAAAAAGATTCTTTTTGTAATCCATTCTCTCATTTGCTATCTTATCCATGGATAGTTTAGACCTTTGTTATTTTTTTTTCTTGAAAAAGCACAAAAACAAAATTTTATCGAGTACCATGATAAAGCCTGTAGAAAATGTGCAGCTCTTATATTTCTAGTAGTGTAGGGTGTCAGCAACTGGTGTCCCCAGTTGGTGGAATGCTAGCAAGGCGGCAAAAAGACCAAACTTATTGGGAAATTGTTTGTGGTCCTGCCCACAGCAAATCAGAAACTGCGTTCTAAAAGCCTTGGTAACGACCACCGCTATTTGTTTTTTGAAAGTCATGATCTACTTTGTCTTTTTATGCTTTTTCCCCATTTGGTTATTTTGATGGGTTAAAAATTTTCCCCTCTTCCTTTTCTCTGTGTATTTTTGTGTAGGTGATTTCTTATTGGTTACCACACTTACTACATTATACAATTTGCAAGCCTAACATTTAAAATACAAACAAGCAGCAGACAAATACTAGCATGTTAAATCTGTTCCTGCTTTGCTCCTTCCTCCATTTCTGTTGGTGTGGTTAGGTGCCATTAAGCCAGCCCCAACTCATAGCAACCTGTGCCCAACCGGAAAAACAAACAAACAAACAAACAACCCTGCTCTGCGCCACCCTCACTGTTCCTATGTGAGCCCACTACTGCAGTACTGTGTCAACCTGCCTCCTCTGGGAGGGCCTTCCTCGTTTTTGTTGTCCCTCTACTTTCACAAACATGAAATTCTCCTCCAGGGAATGGTCTCTCCTGACTACATATCCTAAGTACGTAAGAGGAATTCTCACAATCCTCACCTCTAAGAAGCACTCTGGCTGTCCCTCTCCCAAGAGAGATCAGTCTGTCCTTTGGCAGTCCATACTGCTTGTTGTCAGGTGCCATTGAGTCAGTTCTGACCCATGGCAACAGTACGCACAACAGAACGAAGCACTGCCCAGTCCTGCGCCTTCCTTGCAATCCTTCTTATGCCCAAGCCCATCGTTGTGGACACGACATCACTCCCTCTCAATCAGGGCCTTCCTCTTTCTCAATACCCCTCCACTTTACCAAGCACGGTGTCCTTCTCCAGGGTCTGGTCTCTCTTGACAATATGTCAAAAGTATGTAAAGCACAGTCTCACCATCCTTGCCTCTGAGGGGCACTCTGGCCATACTTCTTCCAAAACAGATCAACTTGTCCTTGGTACTTTACAGTATTCTTCTCCAGCACCATAATTCAAATGCATTGTTTCTTATTTAGCCTTCCTTATTCAATATCCAACTTTCACATGCATGTGAGGCAATGGAAAATACTACGGCTTGGGTTATGCACACCTAACTCTTCAAAGTAACAAATTCGCTTTTCAATACTCTGAAGAGGTTTTGTGCAGTAGACTTAACCTCATGCAACTCATTTTTTGATCTCTTGACTGCTGCTCCGATGAGCATTGATTGTGGATCCAAGCAAGGCAAAATCCTTAACAATGTCAACCATTTCTCAATTTATCATGATGTTCCCTAGTGTGGTTGTGAAGATTTTAGTCTTCTTCACATTGAGTCGTGATGGTGGCAATCTTCGATTCTCATCAGCAAGTGCTTCAAGTCCTCCTCATTTTTAGCAAGCAAAGTTGTGTCATCTGCATATCGCAGGTTGTTAATAAGCCTTCCTCCAATCTTGATGCCATTCTTCTTCATATAACCCAACTTCTCTAATTATTCACTCAGCACACAGAATGAAAAAGTATGGTGAGAAGACACAACCTCTCAAGAAAGACAACCATGCAGTATTTTAAACCATGCAGTATTCCCTTGCTTTTTTTCCACATTCCTTCTATGTTTTCGTACTTTTATTGTTACTTTTTATATATTCCCTTGTTCTGTCCACACAACTGCCTCTAATCCATGTATAAGTCCCTCACGAGGACAGTTAAATGTTCTGGAATTCTAATTCTTAGTCGAGAATAATTTATTCAGTTTATTATGAGCCCACACAGTTGAATGACTTGGCACAGTCTTTCTGATATTCTCTGCTTTGAGCCAAGATCCATATGACATCAGCAATATCCCTTGTTCCATATCCTCTTCTGAATCTGGCTTAATTTCTGGCAGTTCCCTGTCAATGTACTGCTGAAATCACTGTTGGATGATCTTCAGCAAAATTTTACTTGCATGTGATATCAATGATATTGTTCCATAGTTTCAGCATTCTGTTGGGTCACCTTTCTTTGGAATGAGCACAAATATGGATCTCTTCTAGTCAGTTGGCCAAGTAGCTGTCTCCCAAATTTCCTGGCACAGACAAGTGACTGCTTCCAGTGTTTCATCAACTTGCTGAAGCATTTCAATGGGTAGTCCACCAATTCGTGGAGACTTATTTTTGGCTAATGCAAAAAAACCCCACAAAACACCACCACACTGTTTTTGTTTTGTTTTGCATAACAGTTTAATTTCCAACTAGGGTCAAAGTCATTGCGTACCCTACGTTTTAAGCAAGGATAGAAAAGGTGAGTTATTAAACATATATAGTCTACATTCCAGAGGAGGCAAAAAAGAAGAGAAAAACCGGCTCAGAACTGCAGTTACCACTATACCACCACAGAGTTTTTTTGTGATGGCGGGACGGGGTGGTGGTGGTGTGGAATCCCCAGGGAGAAAAAAGGCTTGAACAAGGAAAAGCACAAAAGTAAATCCATCAGAAAGGGAAGAGGAGGAGGAGGGAGGGGCCAGGAATGGAATGAACCACCAATCCCCAAAGAACTGCGTGAACTTCTTCCGTCAGGTTCTTGTTCATACGCTTCTTCCTAAAATGGTGGAGCGTCAACAACTTCTTTTTGGTATATGATATGCACAGACTGGGCATTCTTTCCCCCTTATTTTGATGCTTCCTGCTTCATTCAACACTTCGTCCATAGAATCTTTCAAGATTGTAACTCCAGGCTTGAGCTTTTCTTTAATTCTTTTAGTTTCAGATATCCTGAGTGCACTCCTCCCTTTTGGGTTTCAGAGAGCCCAGCTTCTTTGGTGATCTGCTCGGCAGACAGGTTGAATAAGTACAACAAGAAGAAACAGCCCCGTCACACACACTTCCTGATTTTACACTATGCAGTGTTCCCTTGTTCTGTTTCCACAACTGCCTCTTGATCCATGGACATGTGCTGAACGAACAGAAAGAAGTGTTCTGGAATTCCCATTCTTCTCAGTTAATCCATAATTTGTCATGAGCCACATCGTCAAATGCCTTTGCATAGTCAATAAAACAAAAGTGAACATTTTTCTGGTATTCTCCCATTTATACTGGTGTGTCTCTATTAGCATCATTGTACATCCTATATTCAATAGGCTTAATCTGTACTTATTTCTGGGCACTTGATGTTGTATTGCATGCAGAACTAAACTATTGAGTCTATTCCCGGAAAGTTTCATATATTTGGACATTAACTTTCCCATACTGTTGGTTTTGAGATTTCTCACTCTCCCTTATGTTTATATTCCCCGCAAAGACTCACATGTTGTTGAATGCTTTTTCCTTTCCATTTGGAGAACTTCCCTAAGTCATATTTGCAGAGTTGGTATGGTACTTTCTGTTTAATTGGGAATGTCTTGGTTTCATCCATGTTTTTGAATTACAATTTTGGCAGATAAAGAAATCTTCATTGGCAATGATTTTCATTAATATTTTATTTGTTACTCCATTATCTTCTTTTATTATTTATTAATCATTTTATTGGAGGCGCTCACAAATCTTATAGCAATTCATCATTCAATTGTAGTAAGCACACTTCTACATATGTTGCCATCAACATTTCCTTTTGACTTGAGCCCTTGGTTATCAGCTCCTCTCCCACCCCACCCCCTTCCACCCTCCATTATCTTCTGACCTCTTAAGTTTCTTGGGAAAAATTTGCAAGAAAATTGAAATTTTAAAAAGTCATTTTATCGGGGGCTTGTACAACTCTTATCACAATCCATACATCCACCAGTGTCAAGCACATTTGCTGCCATCATTCTGCAAATTCACATGAAGCTCTCTCTCGAGTGTGCTTCCCTCTCAGTGCTTTCCAATTCCTTTCCTTGTCCTTGTCTTTCCAATTCCTTTCCTTGTGTTTGGGTTCCAGGAATTTTATCGAGAGTGATATACAAGAAGGAACCCCACTCCTCCAAAACGGAGGAAACGCTCTCACGCTCAGAGCTTCCATGGCACGCATTTTCCCACTAAGCAAGCATCGAGCAGCTCTGAGTTAGTGCACCCAGTGGCATCGCCTGTGAAGGGTCTCTCTGGTCACAGTGAATTTTTTTCATACAAGCAGTTTTGCTCGAACTGTGCGTTTTGCGAAGGCTGATTTCAGAGAACAGCGAGTGACTATGAAATTTTGTTTCCTGCTTGAGAAAAATGCCGAAGAAACTATTAACACAGTTAACAAGGATAGTACTACAGGAAAAACTCAAGTGTACGAGGGTTTTCTTGTTTCAAAAAAGGTAAAATGTCAATTGATGACAAACCTCACTCTGGACATTGATCAACTTCCTGAATAGACAAAAATGTTGACAAAGCTCATGTACTTTTGCTCACATTGAAGAGATGGGGAAGTTATCTGGACTATCTTGGAACCTGGTTCAGGGAATTTTAATGTTAGATTTGTGAATGAGAAGGGTCACGGCAACATTTGTGTCTCAGGTTCTGACTGACCAGCAAAAAAGGCATCGAGTGGAAACATGCTGTGCTTTGAAAGCACAGCTCCATATACCAAGGGCTCAAGTGGGAAGAGAATGCTTTGAAAATGATGATGGCAGCATATGTGCAAATGTACTTAAAACACTGGATGAATATATGGATTGTAATAACAGATGTAAGAGCCCCCAATAAAAGTATTTAATAATAATGATAATAAAAAAAGGAAAGCTCCAAAGTGACCCAGGCTTTTCCCCCCAAGATCATTCCTGGTGAGGAGACATGGTGCTATTCTTATGACCCCAAAAGCAAACATCAATCAAGCCAGTGGAAGACGCCATCGTCACTTTGCCCGAATAAAGTTCATTCAGTGAAATCAAAGATCAAGATGATGTACATTTGTTTTTTGTTTTGCTGCCACAACAATGCACCTGCTCATGCAACCATCTATGTGCCAGTTTTGGCAAAAAACAGCATGCCTCTCTTGCCCCTTGCCCCTTACTCACCTGACCTTGTTTCATGCAACTTCTTTTTGTTTCTGAGAATGAAGACGGACATGAAAGGAGCAATTTGATTACATAGAAGAGGTGAAGAAAAAAAGAGGGAGGTACTGTTAACTGTCCAAACAGATGAAATTGCAAAATGTTTCTAAGAATGGAAGCACAGATTTGACAAATGGATTAAATGGAATGGAGAGACTTTGAAGGTGATATGGTTGTTCTTTAAAAAAAATTTAAATACATAGCTTTGGGGTGGGATTCTGGTTTTTTTGGGGTATACCTTTATAAAATGGACCTCAGTAGGTATTCTAATTGGAATTTGCATAGCTGTCTCTTTTTACAAGCTTGACTATATGATTATTTATTGGAAATTATTTCTATGCTATATTATTGCATGCTCTGGAATTCCAGTAAGTCTAAAGTTAGATTTCTTAATTGAATCCTACATTTCCATTTGGATTGGTCTTTTACTTGTTCTTTTCTCTTGAGACTTAATAAATTATGTTACTGTTTTCTTTTTCTTTGTGTATAAAAATTTTATATCAAGAAGCAATTACACATCAAGAAAGTGTTCCAGCTCAGTCCAACTCAAGTCCACAAGTCCATTTTCAGACACACGCAGCCACATGCGATGATGCCGGCCAGTGGGGGCCCACCCATGTGTGTCCAGGGTGGGTGGAAACAGGGCTCCGGTAGCTCCTTGCGTCACTGGCAGAGCCCCAGCAGGCGGGAGGCAACGTGGCAAAGAAAGAACAGTTACCAGGGTCCTTCGTCTTCTTTTCTTTAAAGATGCAAACGTGTTTTAATTAAAGTGGTAAGGAAAATAAATGGATGCGATGACTGAGAATACATCAGGGTACGGCTGTAGTCAGTATGGTCTAGTGGTTTAGAGTGCAATCGCTGGTATCAGGCAAGTTTGCAAACTCTACTTCTGACTGAAGGGCTTTGAGAGCATTATTTAACATCTTTATTTACTGTTTTCTATGTCAGTTCATCTATCTTCTGTTTGGCTTTATTGTTGAATGTTTTTCTTAATGCTTCTTAATTTAGTGTTTTTATTCTTTAGCTCCTGTAATTTCTCTGTGTATTTTTTAATGTTATTTCCTTATTGAGATTATCATTTTGCTCCCCAATACGTTTTCTATGTTTTTTATTTTGCTTTCTTTAAATAAAGTATTTACCACTACTATCTGGATACTATCTATTTTCTCCAATTTCCTCATCTCCATTGGAGAAATTTTTTCTTCTTCATATTTTTCTTTTGATTAGTCCTTTTTTCCTTGTGATTTTGAATTTTTAAATAAGGGATGTTTGATAGTCTAATATTCTAAGCTTTCTCAATTTCGAGGGAATTGTATTTGTTACATTTACCTCTACTAACTTCTCCAAATTCCACTAGAGGGCACCTTTGTCCCAAGTTTAGTTTTTTGGGTTTTTTTCAGCATTGATTCAGTGCAGTCTGTGGCTTTGTCTGTGTCTTGGTTTCTAGTCTATTGCTACAATTTTGGGGCATTTTGAAAGTTTTCAGTTTCTGGCTGCTCATTCTATGGCAGATGGTTTTCTTGAAACTGGCTGACTTTGCTGGTGTGGTAGTGTATACTATGTTTCCAGCAGTGTTTAGGTTTGGTGTCTTAAAACTCATGTCCTTAATATCATGTGTGAGAGTAACTACTTGAATGTTACCAACTTAAATTGCTAGAATAAGGTAAAATCGATACACAACTGTTCTTTTTCATTTAGAACTCTGACCTAGTTTGGTTTTTCAAAATCACTTTGGCTACTTGTATTCTTTATGCTGTTTTTTATTTCAATAAAAAATTCACAACCAAAAAGATTAAAACAACAACAACTTGTAAATCCACAGGGGCAGGTCTACTCTGTCCTGTAGGGTAGGTAGGAGTTGGAGCTGCCTCAATGGCAGTGCGTGAATGGGTGATAAGTGCCGGTGGCTGAGAATCGTGAGCACTCCAAGTTACACGGAGCCATCACAGCCAGCTTCCTCTTGCCTGCACCCTGGAGCTACTGCTGCCAGCAGCATGCCATTTAGGTCCAAACACAGAGAGAAGAATGTTCACTATCTTCCTAAATGCAAAACATCAGATAACCAGGTAGTTATCTGATGTGAGGAATAAGTGAGGAAGAGGTGAGTTTCATTTTCAGACACTGCAGTATTGAGAAATAATTTTAAAAGAAAATAAGATAGCAAATGCTGTTTTCCAAAGGCATTTTATTTATAAGGTAAAAAATTATTATCCTAGAACAGTGGTTCTTAACCTTCCTAATGCCATGACCCTTTAATACAGTTTCTCATGCTGTGGTGACCCCCCAACCATAAAGTTTTGTTGTTACCTCATAACTTTAATTTTGCTACTGTTATGAATTGGGTGACCCCTGTGAAGGGGTCGTTCGACACCCAAACGAGTTGCGACCCACAGATTAAGAACTGCTGTCCTAGAATATGAACCTTTATTATTTGAAAAGCAATGTGTTTTTTACTGTTGGCTAGCAATTTTACTAAAGAACATTTGATATCCTTAATTTCGAATGTGAACATAAGAAAATGAACGCATGGAGATGTTAAGCATCTTACCAGGTTCCATACCAACTCAGAGTTAAGATCATAAATTACTTTTAAGATTTACATTCCAATGATATGTTAAGGTAGGGAAATGAGCTTCGTATGAACCATTTAGATTGTAGTTAGAAATTCATGTGGATTAGCCTCTGGTGAATCCCCTCTGACCACAGACCAGGGATGTGAAAAGCCTTGCTATCATGCAGAGTTCTTTGGAAAATGGATTATGGCTGATAATTAGGTTAAAATGTAACACCTTATCATTTGATCTCCCTTTACACACATTTTAAAGTTGTTCTAATTTTTAATATTTGCTGTTTTCTTTTTAGCTGAGGTTTTCTTTGTTACTGCTGTTAGCTCTTTTATTTTTACGGGTTTTTTTGCTTTTGTATGTTTTTCTGAATATGAAATCCAGGCTGATGAATCTAGAGACAGTAGCTGGTTTAATGGTTTCCTGGGGATATGACAGGGGAGGGGGGGGAGGAATGGGTAACTAACAAGGAGTATAAGAAAGAAGAAAATGCTCTAAAACTGTGGTGATGATTAGACAACTCTTCTTGATACAATGAATTACTGAATTTTATGATACATAGATTATATCCCAATGAAACTGTTTTTTAAAATGTCCTTGTTTTTCTATGTTACAGTGCTTGAAAACAATAATATCTCCCAACTGCGGTTTTAAAATTTTCTATTATGATCACTGGGCAATTTCTACTCTTTGTGGCTGGAAAAGCAGAAATTACTCCTTGGATTGACTCCAGTTAGTTCTGGTAAGAAATTAAGAGTTGGAATCTGCTAGGGAGTGTGGGGGGCTGTTATTTGCTTTTTATTGCAATCCTATAATAGGCTTTTTTTAAAATCCAATTGACTTGTCTTACCTATAATATATCTTCTTCAGAGTAAATGGCAAGCAGCTTAAACACTGTTTGTAGATCCTGTTCTCATCAGTTTCTAGTTCGCATCCACACTCTGCACAGCCAGTATATGTGATGTTGGGAACAGACGCGAAAATACTCTTCAGAGAACTCTGAGCATTCAGGGCGATCTGCTGCTCCTGGGTTGCTGTGATAGGAAACACGAGCTCCAAAATCTGGGCACTGACCAGCACCACTCCTACGAACGGCAAACAAAAACAAGCCATGTACAATTTGGAACCAAGATTTCCATATTAAGTTGCAACATGGTTAGCCACATAGTTGATCTACAGTCACGTTATAATCTGAGCCCAAGGTCCTGTTCCTTGTCTTCTTTCTTTCACTCTTTTCCTAGACAATCTCACTCATAAGGACTTCAGTGTTTACTCTAAAATCTATGGGGTGACCTGTCTGCAACTGAAGGTGAAGAATTTTTTGGCTATTTTGGCTGAAGAGATGGATGTTTTCTTCCTCCCCTAACCCCTGATACATGTAATCCCTCTAATAAAAGAAATTACTTCAAATATAAGAAACCAGCTAATATCTGTTCTTTCTCACTCCTAACTTCTTTTAATTTACTACCATCAAAAGTCAGTAAGTCATAGGTATGGGGGAGTTACTCTGCTAGTCTTTATTTTGTCTAAGAAAAAACAAGCCATTAGCTAATCCTTTTTTTTGTTTGTTT